CTACTACTACTACTACTACTACTACTACTACTACTACTACTACTACTACTACTACTACTACTACTACTACTACTTCAAACTGCTTAACCCCATAGGCCCCAAACTGTTGAGGACAGTTGAGAGAAAAAATGTAGTCCCAGTCATTTTTGGTCCATGCTCATCTCTATTGATATATATATATAATTAATGACCAGTGGTGTATATATATATTGTATAATGACCAGTGGTGTATTTGCCTGGGCCCGGGCGATTAATTCGCCCCATTGGAAGAAATTTTATATTTTCGACACAGTCCAAAGAGAACACCGAAACAACACCTGCAAGTTATTTGCATTTCATTACACTGGGCCACTGGGGCCCGTTCAAGTTATATATAGTACATGTTTCATATATAAATTGATACATTTACTCTCCACAAGCCCACCTGCACGCCCCCAAAAACCAACTTCGAACATGAATCGTTGATCCTCCATCAAACTCCATCATGTTGTCCGCAGGAACATCTGTCTTCTTTGTCCCAGCGACCATAGGACCTGTGGTGCTAACGCCCCCAGCATCCCTGCAGAAGAGGGCGAGGATGCCGCACTGAGCATTGGCGCGGGTTGGGCAGTGGTGGCAGCACGCTGGTCCAGCAGCTGGCCCAAGCGGCCTAGGAGAGAACAAGTGCTCGTGATCTTCATATATAAGAGAATATTAGTATGGGAGAGCAACGAGAAAATAGGAAGAGTCATGTGGACTCTTGATTGTATTTCAACCCCCCACATGAATTTCGACGGACAGCCGTTCGGACCTCGTGGACCAGCGTTATCCACCTCCTGGATTCGGTCTGTTGAAGAGGTGGCTCCAATCGATGTCGATGGGGGCGTTCTAAGAATAAAGCGCCTGTTTTTTTATATCCTCCCTCACAATCAAGTATCAAGTGGAACATTGACCATGGACCCCTGGCGTCATCACCGGTTTTGTTTCGTCTTTCACTTGGAACCCGGAATCTGCATCGCTCAGTCACCGGTCACAACGAACACAAGCCACCGCCCTTCTTTTTCTCCGCTCGGACCCACAGAGAAACCGGTCGAGCGTGGGCACAACTTGCGTCGCTTCGGGTGGACGGACGAGCTGAGCAGATCCACCTGACCCGGCGGACCGGAGCAGTCTGCTCCGTGGTGGAGGACCGTAAGGACCAGTTTACATGCAAGCTGGCTGGTCTGGGATGTATCCTGTTTTGAGGCAAAGGTATAGGTGTTTTTGAAGAACCAAGTCTATGATATTCTGATTGATGTCTAATTACTATATCTATGGAAATTGTATTAATACTATATCTATTGGCTTTTGCGTGCAAATTACAAGGACATGTCCACTGCGACAACAAGACCTGGATGTGATCCGTCAAACCCAACTTTCCCCGGCTCAATTGCTCATTCCGATTTCGGTGTTGGAAGAAACTGTCATCCTGAATCCAGCCATCCTCATCCGACGAGTCCATTTTGTCCCACGTTTAGAACAAAACCTGAAAACTAAACTAAAAAGAACATATACTTGATTCTTATAGCAAATGCCCTCTAGTTTGCGGAACCAGGTCTTTCCAAGTGATATCCAGTGATGTCCGATGGAATAACCTAAAGATATAATAGATTACAGGCCAACATGAGGCAGCTCGAAGTGGATGATCCTGGAACAAATTCAGCTGCTTGCTGCAGTTCAGACACCATGTCCTGATCCTCATACCGTAGAGCCACATCAAGAGGCCGATCGCCCAACGCATTAGTCACATCTGGCCGGGCACCGAAGTCCAATAAGAGTTGGACCATGTGCAGATCATATTGCCGAACAGCCAAATGCAAAGCTGTGGTTCCATCCTGAGTTATGGAGTTCTAAACAGTTTCATCCCCACTAAACAGTCCGTCGCCGGGACTTCTTTGAACAAAAGAACCCAACCTGTTGTTTTGTACTCCAAAACTTCTCAGGATAAAAACCGTTGAATAATATCTGGAACATTAAATTGTTCTTTTCTATGACATGGCTTAAGGCTACATATACAAACAAAGGATTTATATATATTATATATATATAAATATATTATGGGTCAAATCATGTCAAGAACGAGTGTATACCCACTGTCCAAGCCACATCTGTCGTGGCCTTGTCCGTCTCCACACCCAACTCGAGCAAGACGCGCGCCACCTCCAAGTGGCCCTGTAAAACGCCCAAGAGCAAAGGTGTCGTACCATCGTCGGTCCGCGCCAGATCTTTGTCAGCACCGGAAGCCACCAAGAACCTGACCAGTTCCACATGTCCCTCCTGCGCTGCCATGTGCAAAGGGGTGGACCCACGATCGCTCGTGGCTTGGTCGATGGGAGCGTTGGCTCCAAGCAACAGGCGACAGACCTCCATGTGCCCGCGGATGGCTGCCTTACAGGCGATGTTTTCGTTTTTCTCTGCGCATGAACAGGTATCCCAGTGCTACATACCTATGCACTTTCAACTGGAGGAACCACTTTCGATCAGCTTGGGGATCAAAACTTCAAAATCCTTTCCGCCACTTCATGAATCATCACAAAGAGCCAATCGCCAAGTGAGCGGCAAAAAGCAAGGGCGTTGCACCATCTGATAGAATTGCTTTGTCTTTGGCAGCTCCCGCGCTTAACAGCAAACGTACCACCTCGAGGTGTCCTTCTTGAGCAGCTCGATGGAGTGGAGTGATCCCCAGCTCCCTGGTGGCAGACTCCTTCTGAGCACCTGCTTCCAGCAAAAGCCGTGAGACCTCGGGCTGGGATCCGTGAGACTGTGGGCCATGGCCATGCATTTTCAGCGACATCAACGACGGGGCCAACATGGGTTCTGTTGGTACAAAAGTCTTGAACATGTCTCAAACCATGGCCTCCGAAAAAATGCAGAACGTCCGCTCCAAAGAGACTCAGCCTCATCTAGATCCAACTGCATTTTGGGGGAGGTTGACCCATTCCGTGACATGTGTAGTGTATCTATTTCTGGCATGAGCAGCCTCCAGATGTCCCTGCGAAGCAGCGAAGTGCAAGGGCACTTCACCTGCTGCGCTACTGGAATCCCGATCCGCACCAAACTCCAGCAACAGACGCGTGATGGGCACAGAGCCACGCTCAGCTGCGACATGCAAAGGCGCGATACCTGGTTGGGTCCACAAAGAGACTGACAACGACATCGAATTTGGGTCTTCCAACAAAGATGATGGAAAGCTCTTGAATCTGTCTTAGCACATGCTACAACGGCCATTGGGAAGTATCCATTCCAGCCATTCCCTATTCTTGGAACACTGGACATCTCTCAAAGACTTGGTCTTTTCTCCGCTTGCGCGGCTTGACATTTTTGAACCTTTCTGCCTCAGGACGTGGTGGTTCCGTATATATATATATATATACCCCCAAATATAATATATATAAATACACCAGAATACATATATGAACCATATATGTAAATACAGTGTATATATGTAAGAATATATTGACACCCATATATATATATATATATATGTCCTTTCAACATGTCTTGGGCACTTAGCTCCAAAGGTCTGTCTCTTCAAGTCCCCCCAAACCCCATGCATATAGAAGGACCGTCGATATGGACCGTCTCTGCAGGAGATGAGCCGCTCAGTTCTATTCTATTGAAACAAAAGCACATTTGGTGCCTTTGTTTGTGAATATATTTGTTCGTACTTGGTGAAAACCATTGAATCAGCTATCCTCAATCATGACACGCATTGATCGGATAGGTTTTTTACTTTGAAGCCTTCCACAAATCATACCGAGTGACCCACGTTTTCAGCGGACTTGTCTATCTGGGCCCTTCTCTCCAGCAAGACTTTAACGATCGGAAGCTGGTTCAAAGCCACAGCATGGAGGAGAGGGGGAGCACCCACATCCTGGCAGTCAGCAAAGCCAGGGGGGCATCCACAATTCATGCACAAAGACGAGACCATGCGACAACTGCAAACCCTTGAACCCCCTGGCTTGCGCTATCCGCCATGAAATCAGGTTGGGAACCGTTTGATCAGCCATAACCTTTGTACTTTGTACCACCCGCCATCAAGCGTCTTGATAGTGCTTTTGATGGGGACCAAGCACGCAAAAAACATGATTTTGGAGCTCGCTGTTGCTGCGTGACCGTGCTTTCCCACTGTGCCGAAGGAGCCACGTCCCCGAGATCCCCAGATCCTCTATACCCTGTGAGCCAACCAAAAACTATAAAAAGAATGGTCTTTAGGGGACCTGAAAGGGAACTTCCTCTACTTCAGCTGGTCAACATATAGTCTTTGGACTTCTAGGGTCTACTTGGTTCTTTCTGTCCCGAGTCAAGCTGTACTCTGCTTGACTCTGCAAGACCCACTGATGGGCTCTGGAAGACCACCCACGCAAAAAAGAACACCTGGCATCAAGCAAGCCGGGCCAAAGTGTCCCTGCAAGGCTTGTCTTTCTCCGCACCAAAGTCCAGCAGAAGACCAATGCCTTCATGATGTCCTTCCTGCACTGCAATGTGCAAAGGTGTTAGGCCATGTTGCATCGTCATGCGGTCCTCAGCATCGCAGACTGCCATAGCCAAGATGAGACGGCTGAGACCGAAGGTACGACGGTCCACCCAACCCAGGCGCATCACTCTGTGTGGAACACGACCCGACCCCCCCCAAGCACCATCTCAAAGGGCATGTGGAGTGACTACAAAGGTATCATCTCTCTAGCGTGAACTTCCATGGAATAATTATGAATATAACAATATTATGTGTACGCAAAACTTTGGCCATTGTGCACCAGCACAAAACCCACCTTTAGAGGTCTTCTGGATATACGTCGTCTATTTTGGTATGGAATCTGCGAATACCTCTCCCAAAACCTTCGCAAAAGAATCACAAATCCAAAGTGAAGCCACTTACCAATGCAGTAAACCCTGTTCAAAAGACGCTTGATTCAGGTGGGGGGGCGAAACAACATGAAACAACTATATACTGCATGTATCCACCTTTCACAAAGGGCGACTATGATTCTTTTGTTCTTCTAGAGCAAAATGAGCGTTTGGACGCTTTCGGGTGCTTTTTCAAGCCACGTTGGAGGGAGCCGTCCGTCCCCCCGATGGTTCGGCTCAGGCTCAGCATCAGCACGACGTTCCAGCAACAGCTGCATGACCTCGCGACGGTTGTGTCTCACGGCCTCGTGTAACGGTGTGGTGCCCGTGTCGCTGGTGGCCTTCTCCTTGTCCACGTCCACCTGGAACGCGGAGGGTTCGCTGAACAGCGAAAACCGACCAAGTCCGCGTGGACGGGCGGAGGAAGTACTGAGAAGATCGAGAGATGGACTCCAACGGGAACATCAAAGAAAGAAAACACGTGTATACACTGCGCAGCAATCTGTTTGGTCTTGTACATGCTGAAAAGGGCTTCTCAACTTCTTTTTGTGCCCACTGGAAGCCTCCAGCAAGGTGCGAACCACCTCCAAATGACCTTCCAGTGAGGCCAACAGCAAAGGTGTTGCACCATCGTCGCTCCTTGCTTTGTCCTTGTCAGCACCGCACTCAATCAAATGCCGCACCACATCTGCATAGCCCTCTTCACATGCCACATGCAAGGGAGTTGCTCCCCCGTCTGTCTCCTCACGGGATCTCTGCTCTTAAAAATAACATCAGAGAACAACATGGAACTAGAATGCGGCTGGATCCTGCAGCAAAACATGTCTTCCAAGGTCAATTTAAAAACAGAAGTTCGAGGACCAGTTCTGGGGGATTCTGGATGATTCGCGTTCTGTTCCAACGCCTGGTCCAACGTGTTGAACTGTTGACCCTCATGTTGAACTCCATGCCTGGTCCTTCTCAGCACCTGCAGCTAGCAAGACACGTACCTGGTGTGAGCGGCAAACACCACAACGGCGGGTGAGCTTCGCCCAGAAATACCCGAGGACCGCAACCGCTGGTAACTGTCCATTGGTTTGAAGTGGAGTGAAAAAGAGACTGACTGGCCCACCAACTTTTAATTTTGTTGTTTTTTGCATTTTTTTTCGTTTTTTTTCAAACACATTGGAATAGAGAAGGCTAATTACAGCAATTTTGTGTCCTTAGCAGAGACACAAGTGTCGTAGCTGGCCAAATACATTGGAATAGTGCATGCAGGTTTCATATTAATTGCTGGCTGATTAGACTAATCCGGGAGCTGTCGTAGCTGGCAAAATACATTGGAATAGTGTAGGTGTCAGAGAAATTCCTACCTATCACAACAGTTTGGTGCAGTTCGCAGAGAAACAGTAAAGAGAAAGATAACTATAGCACAGGAGGCATATGATTGATTAGAAGTTTTTGCCACGGGGAGTTCACCTTAAAATATTGATTTCATGGCAGGCGCGGGTGTCGGAGACGAAGCGCAGATTTCGTGGCGCGGGGGGGGGGGGGGGGGGGGGGGGGCAGCGGCCCCCCAGCAGCACACCAAATCCAAAGGTTAGAAAGCAAACAAATGGAAAAGCAAAAACAAAAAGATAAAGGAGAACAGCTGCAAAAGCAGAAAAGCAACAAAAGCAAAGAGCAGAAAGAAAGAAACATGCACAAAAAGCAGAAAAGCAAAAACAAACAGAACAGCAGCAGAAGCACAAAAGCAACAGAAGCAAAAAAGCAGCAAAAACATAAAAGCAACAAAAGCAGAAAAAACAGCAAAAACATAAAAGCAACAAAAGCATGAAAAAAAGAAAACGCCTATCCAGTAAACTCTAGAGCTGCAGGTGGGGGGTGATTCAACTCCTGTAGGGTTCTTGGAAAACTCTGAAAAACCTGCGATGCAAGCTAAACGGGGCACCACCTCCAAGTGTCCCTGGCCCGCAGCGAAGTGCAAAGGGCAGGCACGCCCCAAGTTGTCACTGGCAGGCTCTTGAGATGCCTTAGCCTCCAAAAGGAGGTTCACCTGAGATGCTTCGGTGGTGATGGGAATATGCCACCAATCGCAACTTCCAACTCGAAACTGGTGACTCAGTGAATCCAAACGTGAATCACTGGCGGACGAAACGACTAAGATCACCAAAGGTTGGCAGGTCTTCGATAGATCTGTTTTTATGCCCCCCCCCCCCAACAAAGAACGTCGGTCCTCGCTTCCGAGTGGCACAGCGCACGTGTCCCGCCGCTGCCGCAAAGTGCAAGGGCCTTCGTCCTTCCTCGTCCTGGTCATTGGGATCCTCGGGGATCGGACCGCCGTTCGTTCCGACCCGCGACGTCGTCCCGGTCGTTCGGCCCGCGACGTGCCGGTCGTTCGGCCCGCGACGTGCCGGTCGTTCGGCCCTGAAGTCGCCCTGACGCGGGAGCGGAGCTAGTAACCGGAACTGGCGCGGTTCGGTGGTCACAACTCGATCCAGCCGCAGTGTTTGGGGAAAAACACCACATGATCCATAGATATCCAATCGTGGACTGTTTGGGGGCTCCACGAGTCCACGTCCATGTCTTCAGGGTGCTCGTGCAGGCTGAGGCTCTTGAGGCAGTTGCAGCAACGTCTCCACCCGGTGCACGCGGTTCTGCATACAGGCGCCGATCAGCCGCTCGGTGTCTCGGCGTCGTGCTGGGACGGATCACCGTTTCGACTCGACTGGGCGACACGGTGTCTGGGACCCACCAGTGGGCGACCATCCAAGTCATAGATGGAATAGTATGGAGCAAGTTATATATATATATGTTTATGTTTTTCAGGATCACGTGGGATAGTGAAGTTACTGGGCCCCATTTACATGAATGGTGTCGGACCCAATAGATTCCGCTGGTGGTTCAGATTCGGTGCCAGGGGCCCTGCATGAAAGGTGCTTAAGGCGGAGGTCTCGATGCTGGAGCCAAGGGGTCAGATTAGATCTGTTCAAAAAGCACACTTGGCGGTGGTTTTCTGTGGTATTCTGCAGTCTGCTAGTAAGCTTGGTATACGGTGGTACACGTGGGTTTGGGATTCTAGCTGCAGAAGAATAAAGGATCATTTGCTCAGCAAAGGAAGGCCCTCAAATCAAGAAAGTGTGCATCCCATAAACCCTTGGATGACATCAATGCTGTTTTTAAATCCGATCCCATTTAAGGAGCTCACAAGCATCCAGTCGTGTGTGTGTGATTAATACCAACTTTCCTGTGCAGCATTAAAACAGCCCATAGCATGACTTTGCAATGCTTGTGGGTCAGTCAACAATCGCAAAGTGAACAGAAGGGTCACCATCAGCAGCGCGGTGGTGTGATCATCACCGGAAGCTGGTTGCTGGGGAAACCGAGCCTAATAGCAAAGATAGCAAAAGCTTCTCCAACTTCTCAGGTTGAGTGGAGTCTCTTCATTCCTGACTGCATTTGGTGACCCACCCATCTTCATGACTGTTGAACAAAACACCTCCTGTACGCGACCAGTCGATCAGAACGAAATAGCTCTCAGCTAAGAGTTTACCGCCAACAGTTGCCTGGCTGGCTTAGGCTTAGGCCCATCCCACTTGCCGACATGGAATGCAAGAATGGCCTTTTACAAATTATCGAGCAGTTCAAAAGCAACCATCTCCTGAACTTCATCCACCACCCCCGAAAAATAACCCGCCATCCGCCGCCATCCATGCACCGCGCAACAACAAACAACAACGACGTGACCCTCGTGCCGAGGAACGCGTGACTTTGGGCGGTAGAAGTTCTAAGAGCACCAATTCCAAGTTCTGTGGCAAACTGAGAATCTCCGAATCCGACAGAACCTCATGGATCCACGGATCGAGCCATGGCTCAAGCCATGGCTCAAGCCATGCAGAGCGCCAGGGCAGTTTCACGGAGGCGTTTGACGGTTTCGGGGGGGCAATTGGTGCGAAGGGCGGTGGCCAGGTCCGTCCCCTATTAGTGTAGACATGCGTAGACCGATGGGTCCGTTACAGTCAGAATCAGGGTCATGGATGGTGCCGTGAGTTCGGATGATCATCTCAAGGAAGGTATTCAAGTTGTGCATAGGCCTGAAGAACACATCGTCTTTAGGCCTGCGCACCTGAAAGCAGCCCTGCAGCATCAAGCGCAGCCGGAAGCGCGTCACATGAAGACGTGTTGGGCTTGCAAGCAACTCCTTCAGGGCCTTGGCGCAGGATGTGGGGAAATCGAAGCTTCGTGGGTGTACGGCATCTTTGGTCTTTCAGAAGGATCGAAAAGTAGTGGTCAAAGGTGGCCGGTCATTGGAACGTAAGGGTCGGTCGGGCTGCAACTGGGGATGAGGCCCCTTTGCGTTCAGAACAACTGGGCACCAATGATTCACCTTAGACACCTAGGACCTAGGAGGCTGCACAAGCTGGTACCTCACCAATTGGTACATGGTCTTTGCGAATCCAAACATTGACTCAACCACACCTGATAATTCTCTTCTCAGTTCTGATAATTCTCCTCTCCCATAGTGGCCTCCCAAAGAACAATTGAAGCCCAGCCTCCCTTTCTTCCTCTCCCCCGAGTCCACGCTCGCTGCCGCCCAACCCCCGTTGCAAATCCGCGGCGCACGCACCGAGTTGTGGTGCTCCTCCAGCCACTGCAGCTCGTCTGCATCCAACGTGCAAACCGGATCTCCGCTGGTGGCCCAAACGAGCCGCAACATGGCACGACGGCCGCGTGGCAAGAGCAGGGCGCTCTCAGCAGCGGGCAGCGAGGTGAGTGTAGCGGCGGTCGTTGGTCGTTGTTTTTGCATGGCACGACTGGTGCGTATCCAATGGTGTAATAACCCCAGCGATGCCCTTGCTCCTAGTAGTAAGGCCAGGAGCCCCTAGTAGCGTCCATGCTCCTAGTAGCGATGCCAGGAGCCCCTAGTAGCGTCCTTGCTCCTACTAGAGTTCCCTTAATTATCATTATACTTGTCGTTGAATCTTTGGGGTTCCATGCATGTCCATCCCGTGTCCCATGGAGATCCAGAAGGGATGATCCAGGTATTGTTCCGCTTGCCACCATTTGCTAGACACTCTTTATTTCAATCAGGATTTACAATGATTTACATATTATGTGTCTGTAATTATGATTGTCTTGTTTATATGTTTACAAGCTGATGTGTTGAATTGCGAAGCAAAAGCTTCAAAGCCCACAACATGGGTGCTCCAAAGCCTGGATTTTCCACATCCGGGTCTCCACGGGTGGTATGAGGTCGCCCAGTGTCCGGGATGGGTGATACATGGTGATACCGGTGACGCAGATCGGATGAGTCTGTCCCGGTTATCTGAGCAGAATCGGATCCCCCAAAAAGTCGTGGTTTGCTTGAGTCTTCCGCCAACAGCAAACAGTCAAAAGCCCCTGAGCCCCCTGCAGTTCTTCATGGTGCATGTGAAGAGGCCAAGCTGGGCCAAGCTTCTTCATGGTTCTTCCATGTCCACTCACCCCCAGCTCTGGCCACCCGTGTCTTAGTCCGGCCACTCAAGGCCACCCGCAGCCGTCCGCCGGACACGGCGCTGGACACGGCGCCGGACACAGCACACTCGGTGGCGTAGAGAAGTGCCAGCGCGGCGGTCGCCAAGTCTTTGAGCGCCTCAGCGGACATCGTGTCGGTCGCACGGCGGTTGCACGGCGGTCGGAAGCTTCGGAGCATCGGTGCCGGGTGAGGAGGAACGGTTTGGGCTGGGGGGGAACACGGTTCTCTTTGGCTCGTGACAGAATGAAGGGAAGAAAGGATGCTGTTTCGATAGACCAGAAGAGCGAAAAGAAGAGAATGTTCGCTGATGTTCGCTTTACACTGGGTCAAGTCTGCCTGGGGAGGTTTAGCCTTGGAGGAGTAGGGGCAAATGTCATCTGCTGCTAGATTTGCTGGTAGCCTCTACTAACAGTTACTAACAGAAGAAAATATGTGTTTGGAACAATGAGGAAGACACCTAGCACCTCTAATAGCATTTGGACTATGGGTGCTGGCAGTGCCGGATGGTTCTTGAAAAAAAAATTCTCAGTGTGGTAGTTGTTATTTGCAAAGACACTATGCGTAAATTGTGGATCAAAAGTGATCCGAAATCCCACACCGGGATTCAAACAAAACTCGAATGTCCCCTCACTTGACTCGCAATGGAACATCAAACAACACAAAGAACAGAACCGCAGCAAGTCCCAAATGTCAACAAACGAACAAACAATCCACTCACTTTGGATGTCATCAAAGTGGCAAACGAATGGCAAAAGCATCAGTATGCATTGCAGTACACAAAACTATTCTTCATCTGTCCACGACAGATGAACGTCGTACTACTCGTCGGACCTGATGTCATCGAATGAGCGAGAGTGGTTCGTCCACGAGCGTGGTCGGTCTCCAGGGTGGACTGGATGGAACACCAATCAGCAATAGTCTTCTCTTGGGTTGCCCAGTGTGTTGCCTGCCTTTGTGAGACGACAACAACAACAGCAACAACACGAACAGCAGCTGCAACAATTGAAACACCACACTTCTTCTATGCATCCCCATTGATCTCAAGACCATATCAAACATGAGGTCATCACAAATGAATGTCCATTGTGTACAAATGTGTGAGCACGTCGCTGGTTTGCTTCGGCAAGAGACCACGTCGGACATGGACTCCATGGGAAAGGTCTCCATCCGCCATGCCATTTCTTTCCTGGGCTGAGAAGACTTGACCAGTACCACTCAGCACTCAGCAATTCTCAATTAAGGAGGCAACGCTGAGTATTTTGTTGTACGTGTTTCTCTTTCATGGGTTTACTATTGCCAATTGAACACTACGTAGCCGCCATTGGCGTGCTTGCACCAATTTCAAGTTTTGTCAGTGTTTCAGTGCTTGACTCGTAGCCAAGTGTCTGTCACCAATGCCAGCAAACGGAAGTGGATAAAGAGAAGGAAACAACACCAGCTGAGGGAGTTTATAGGACTATGCCGCATATCCAAATATATCCCAAATATATACCTGGTGTGTCTTTGTTCCAATAAGCTCAATCCTTTGTTGCTCCCATTGCAGCTCAGCCTCCGCAGCAGATCCAACTCCTCCGCCTTTGTGTCGTGCTCTGCCTAGGTGCCCCTATGCCCCATGCTGGAGGTGCTGAACTCCAATGGCCATGTGAGTCAGGTCACTTTTGGTGGCTGTAAGGGCTTGAACAAGCGGCCCTCAAGATGCTTGCTGCTGCATCCATGCCACCAAGCTATTCGGCACCCCTTTTCTCCACTCCCACTGAAACTATTCGGGTTCCTTGACTCCGAAATTGTTGCACCCCAGGGCAACACCCACGACCACTACAATAAGATCAACCAAGTCACAAGTCACTCAAGTCACATGTAATTTTGTTATATAGACCCCACTGCTGAACCAAGGGCTGTAACAGACCGAGCGTCTCTGGGAGAACATCTATTTGGATCTTTGAACCTGCTGATCTGGGTGTGTTTGCTCTAGTGTCCAGATCAATCACGCTGTCACCCAACCTTGCATCCGTCCGACCCCCAAAAGTCCAGCGCCGAAATGGAATCTTGGTGAGAAGGACCCAAGATAAATTCTTGGTGTGACCGTACCAGAATTCATGGGTCATGTTTCATCATGTAATTGGTTCTAGCCCAGCTGCTGCCAAGACTTGTCCCAAGGTGGCCAGGTGCCTCAGCCCCAAGCGCCGCAGCTCCCCATGTGCCTGGCGCGCCCCGCGCAGCGGGCCGCTGCGCAGGCGCCGGCGTAGCTCGCTGCGGAGCGCAACGGTCCAGGGAGCTGAACGGAGCGACCAAAGGGTAGATGCTAAGGCCTGCGAGGCATGCGGAGAAGGGGAGAGTGGAGTTCGGGAATCACGCGCGGTCTGTCGAACTCCAGCACTCCCTTTTGCACCGCATACCACCTGCTTGGTCCAAAATCATTTAAGAGCCTGTTGGGTTCTGGTCTTTCGATTGCTATTTTTTGCTGCACCTCTTGTGTGGGTGGAGCCCCACGAGTCAAGAACTCACGCCAATCGATGAACCTTTTGGATCCTTTTGGTCACTAAGTCACTGGCCAATCGATTGTGAACAAATCTTCCCTGTCCAACTACTCCAACCGATCCAAACACTTCGAACCCTTCCAGGGCATCTCTACCGATGCCAACCCGCGCCCTTTTCACAAAGGAATGAACTCTCTAATGCCTTGGGGAGGGTCCAAACCCTGCATATAGGGGAGCACTCCGCTTCACTCCGCCGAGCACTGACGACTGACCGGAACCCCGCAGTTCTGTTGAACGCGGCCTGGAGTTGAAAGTCTCCAGGATCCACGAGCTTCAGCAGCTCTGCGGCTTGGGATGCCACGTCCTGCCGCGGGAAAACGCGACGCAAAGAGGAGGAGCGCCAGATGTTCGCTTGAGAGCCGACTCTTTCAATGATAAAGAAGACCGGTTGAGTCTCCTCGGCTTCCAACATTTCAATATCATTTCAAACGTGAATGAACATCGGCAAACACACCACTCCTGGCTGGGATGGCCTAAGCGCTTCAACTTGGCACAGCGCCAAAGGATCTGCGGCATGGTCAAAGCAAAGTCGGAGGTTACTAATTACACCTAATTACAAGGGATTGATGGTCTGAATTGTTGAAACGGTACCAAACAGAACCAACTGGGAACAACATGTTGGTTGGGCGGTCTTTGCCTCTGCCATGTTCAACTGAAGAAGAGGTTGCTTCTGAACTTGCAGAGGAGACCATCAGGTTCTCTCCACTCAGCTAAACCTTTGTATCCTCCATTATTCTCAGCTCACGTTCAAACCAGCACCTTGCAGCATCTCTCGCATCTCTCCACCCAAAACCGATGCTGATGGGCCCGCATTCATGCGGATGGGCCCTCCAGGAGGTCCCCTTCCACCGATGGGCAACGCGGGGACCGCGGTTTCCGCCGTCACTGACGGTCGGGCGCCTGAGAGATCCGGGTGGGCAGCTCGCCACGCTCCACTCGCTCCACTCCCGTCGAGTTCCTGAGAGGGGCGGGCGAATTGGGTGACTTTCAGCCTCCTAATTTTGGAGCTGATTTTGGCCACAGGTCAAACACAAGAAGTTGTCAAACACCACCATATTTCGAACGCCAGTTTGGAAGGCCAGCCGTGAGGAAGTCAAACAACGTCGAAGCAATGAGCCCCTGATTGTTATTCTATTTTGACAAGTTTATCACATGAGTCACATGAGGCATGTTGAACGACGAATCCCGTTGTTCGCAAGCATGTTCGAACGCCAAGGACGCCAAGGAGCAACAAGAAAAACAGGGAGAACTGCCATCGGTCCGCTTCACAGGCACTAGCCAGGCAGTTGTAGGTGATCTCATCCGCCTGAATCTGTCGGCCTCAACCATGGATGGTCAGCCGCTTGACCCTTCAAGGGGTGCGGGCGTCATAGAAGTAGGAATCCCGACCCCGTACATTGTGGGTGTACATTTTCAAAGGGAGACCCAACCGATGGGTTTGGTCTATTTTCGTTCATCCAGGGGCTCTTTGGGAGGTCTTTGAATTGTGGCCTGCAAGACGATGTGTTGAGGGGGTCTGGAAACATGTGGTCGTACATTGTGGGCTTGATCAGGGTTGATGGTGAGAATGATTCCTGTCACCTTTTGACATAGCCAGCATGTTTTTGGGATACCTGGATAATTTGTTTTGATTATGAACATTTATTGAGCAGTTGGAATTGCTTACGGGCTCAGGGACCTGTATTTCACAGTACCGTATATACTTACCCTACAAGCCCAAACCCTATAAATTTGTAGGGTTGATGGAGAAACCTAGGGTTTGTGAAGGAAACCCGAGTTTGTCCAAACCAGTACTAAAATTTGGTTAAGTGTGGGTTTAGTACGGGTTAAGTGAAATATGGGTTCAGTACGGGTTAGAAAAACAAGACCCGAGGTTTTAAGAAAAAACCCAAAGTATTGTTGATTGCACAAAAATACCCGAGGTTTCGATCGAACCCCAACAAATATAGTAGTTTTGTTTTTTTTTGCTCAGGGCTAGGGATCTCTGGGAAGGGAGAGCTGCTCTCCGGATTGCCACACGTCCGTCCCACCGAACCCGGGTCCGAGCTGTGTCTGGGAAGTTCCCAGGAAGGCAACGAAACCAAGTGGCTCTGCATAAGAGCGAAAAGCGAGAGTGCGCCTTCCCAGTGTTCCTCCTTGGCCTGGGCGGTTCCCAAACGAGCACCATGAGCTCAGCCGGGTACTCAAAAAAGAAATAGATGCTGCGCAGAAATCGAATGAATACATGCAACAACATATAGAATACATGCAGTATCATATATAGAACTCCTTCCAGGATTAGGGTGCACTAACCATCAGACTGCTTGTTACACCCCGAGCCAAATGTATCGAGATGGATAGAGGTTGTGTTGTTTGGTTGCTCCTTAGTGGGAGAATGCAAATTGATAAATAACATTATACTTTTGATTGATGGTAACCCAAAAACCAACAAACGAGATCTAGTCTAATCTGGGGACTCAAACAACAAGTCCCTCTGCTGGAGGGCCTAAGTCTAGCTTGGGCATGACACTAGGGAAAGATCAATTGTTTTTCTGGTGCATTGCTTCACTCTCAGAATCAAACACGCGTTCTCGAACGCCTCTCTTCTCATTGGACAAAAATGTGTGCTTCCCAAAACATAAACGTGGCAGTTACTGTAAGGTCTGAGCCCACCGGACCTGACATCCTAAACACTCGAGGGGTGCAAATCTATGGCAACGCTTTTGGGTTCGAAGTGCTTGTAGGCAACCAAGTCTATTGGGTCGGTCTGCAGAGGCAAACTGATTAACTGATTAGAACCAGGGAACTGCAAACTGTGATATCTTTGAGTCGATATCAGGCCTCTGGTGCCTAGTGCCGGATGAATTCCATGGATCGCTATTTAGCCAGTTGTAGCCCCACACTTTTGGGTTTAAGTTTGAGCCATGATGTCTAGCTAACTCTCGAAAAGCTGATTGAAATTTAAGGAAATTTATATGACCGCTTCCTTTACTCGATTCACAGCCAGGTTTGTGAAAAACTAACTGAAAGATTTTACACGCGTCGCCCAACGCGTCGCCCAATGCCCGATACTCAGAAGTCATGAGTTTGTTCGGCCGTGTCAACAAACCAAAACTTGGTCATGCGAGCACCAACCAAGGGGCACATGCGCCAATGGCAGCATTGAAGCTGACCTGGCAAGAAGTAGAGATCCAGGACGAGTGGAGCATGTACGGCTCAGATCATAGAAATCAGCTATAAAGTCTCAAATATGTGTATGTATATATATATATATACAATGCGTAAGGGGTATTATACATATACATACACTATCTACTTGTTTGTTCTATTTGGGTTACTCCAGATTGGCTGTGTCTAACCTAACCAGCACCTATAAACAACGACGTGATATGTGAACATTGTTAAGAGAAAACAAGACCTAGTGTTTGTTCATTTTTGGAATGCCGAGTTTAATCAAAGAGCTGCAACTCATTTCAACGAAGCAATCCCTTATTGAACTAAGTATTGCAAACACATAGTGTATTTCACTGTATATATAACATCATAAAACTGCATATATGTCAATTGGAATTGGAGTCACACACACGTCATATTATTAATATACTATTCTCGCCCCCCTTCCACTCCCAGACCATCCATATATGGAAAATATGCCTATATTGACCCCTGAAACCACCCTAATCTAGACAATAGGCCATTTGGGCCATACATGGATGGTCTGGGAGTGTATAGTACAAAATATTGATCCGACTATGACTACCAGTGCTTTGGTCGTTTAGGAAGCACGTGAACGGCCCGACTCGACGGCACTAACTTCGCTTCAAGCTGCCTGGTCAGGCAACACCTCGTTTTGGTCGGGTGACAGCATTTGCTCCAACAGAAGCCTGTGGCGAGCAGGTGTCAAAATGGTGTCATTCCAATCAACAGTAAAACCATGTAAAACCACCCAAAAGGGATGTCTTATGTCTTTTAAGACAGGGAATTGTGGTTATCGAATGTTATCGAATAACATTATCCAGTGCTTCTACAATGCCAGTGTATTGACACATCCCCCTGAACGTCAAGCACACACAAGCAAGCATCCAGTTTTCGACCAAAACTTACATGCTGTGAGAGCTGTGCTAAGAGGTGTTTATAACTTACCCGCCTCTTTGCCGCTAAAATAGCTACTCAATGCTACTCAGCTACCCTGCTGCGCCCTGCCGCTCCCTGCTGCCCGGCAGCAAGGTGTACTGCCACTGCCCAGACTTTTCCAATGCACTGATGGCCTGACGAGGACGCCGCACTGTGCGACTCGGAGCGATTGGTCTCCTCATGTTGATTCAAGCGGTCAAGAAAACCGAAAAAAATGGTTCTGCCAGGCTTTCAGTAGGCTTTGACTGCTGGCATCTGAGTGAGTTTAACTCAGCTCTGGCAAAAGATGCAAAGGTCCTCCACAATCCCTGGCAACTGTAGTGTTTTTTGGTCCGTCCATCTACCATCATCTACCAACAATGCAACCCTGGAACGTAAGGAATTGATCGTGGCTTCAGTAGCATCCTCACCGATAGTCTCCATGCACGAAATCAATCCCACCAAAGGCCTTCCTTGCCTGGTGGGGCCACACGGCCCCAAACACATAAAGGAACCCGCCGGAGAGATGGGCAGAGTCCACTTTGTTGCCAAAGGGCCGCATTGTAGGAGACCTCATCAGCATTGCCATCCTCCTGCAGCGGGATCGAGCCAACACCCTTCACCCCTGCCATTCGATCTCAACAGGATCCTACACCTCCGTCCGTCTCGACTGGATCTTCCAAGGCTCCAGCAGCTCTTGAAGGAGCTTCAGAGCCCAACGCCAACGTCGCGACTTCTCACAGGCGCTGATGACACTGTTCACACTCACCTGCGGTTTTCACGGATGGTGGGGAGTGGGGAGTGGAGACATTTGGCGCCAGCTGGAAAACGAGCATCTTGAGGATTGTTGCCAACCATTGCCAACCTCTCAAGGCATGTTGCTGATATGACTGCCTTTCTGTAGTACAGGCCCATCTAGTCTTGGCATCTCTCGGCAGTATACAAGCATCGGCCAACCAGTGCTTGCTTTGCTGGTTCCCCCTCACACTTTTTGCACCAACCTCACGTTTTTGCACGTTTTTGCTCAACCCCTCACGCTTTTGCCGTCTTTTATGGTCCTATGTCTTGGATCTCGTATTCCACCATCCTCTCCGAGGGGTCCACGACGTCGCTCGCGAGGACGTCAGCTCGACGGCCCGCCGCACTCGATTGGGCTCCACCGAGAAGTCCTGCATCGTTGAGAAGGCTCCTTGGCACGGCCGCGAGGAGAAGCAGTTCTACGGCAGGAGCGAAGCTGTCCTTCCCGCATGGCCTAGAGCAGTCAGTTTGACCTGATTCTTTGGGTGGTATATGCTGAAAAGAAGGGATCTGTTTAAGTTTAAGTCTATTTAAACTGCGCCGTTGAGGACTGTAAAGTTGACTCCTGGTGGGGAACTATCATTTATCATTTATCTTATCCTTTGTTCAAGAAACAAATGCATGTGGTATGAATATCCAGTATTTGCATGGACATCTATATCCTAAGATGTGAAGTCCACATTTCTAGGTTTCCCGGAGCCCAAAATGCCAATGGCAGCTTGGGCAGTAGCGAGTCTCTTCCTTACATGAAGTGGACGTGAACATGAGAATATCCATAATATATATATATATATACATATTTATGTTTAAACCGCACATATATATATATATATCGTGTCCTTGACCAATGGTACCCATATATATATATAAAGAAAACAAAAGCACACTACCAACATGCACTAAAAACAACAACCCTCAGATCTTTACAAACCCCACAAAATACACAAACTCCGTCTCTTTTGGACACCAAACTCACACCTTCCTTTTGGAACATCTTGGGATTCTGGACGATTCTGGGGCTGGATCCCCTGGCCAACACACCAAGACCCAACCCGGTTGGTTCGCCGGCGCACGGAGCGCTGCGTCCCAAGCGCCAGCCTGAGGCGGGGTTCGGTTCTCCACTCCCCAGGACGGGTCTCCTAAACACCACTCCTTGGGGTCTCCTGATGTACAAATGGATCAGAATCGATTCGACTCGGACTCGACTCGAGTGATTTGTGGATCAGAAATTCACTTAAAAACACATGGAAGTGACTGGAACAAAGGTCCTGGAAGACTGTTGGGGTGCGGCAGCTTGCATGATTTCCCCAAAAGAGGTGTGTATATACTGCATATATATATATATGTAACATGATATGATGTAACAATCGTCCAAGAAATCAACGGGTCGTTTCGTTCACTGTTATCCGTTTGTTCAAACAAACACTGCAAAGAGATGATCCGTCAGGTGCCACTGACCTGAAAAAGGAACGACATGGGAACATCCATAAGAAAGCAACATATCCTGGGAACAAGTGCCAGCTTCTTCAAAATGAGCTTTGGAGGGTTCCTCTGTGACCCTTTTACACACCGGGCGAACCACCCAGGATCTTAAAGGCTCACTTTGAAGAACCGAGCGAAGACTTGTTCAATGATCTGTTCCAATTAAAGGCCTACTATCACAGTGCACGAGCTGAGAGATGCTCGGGTGCATGCCCTTTATTGAGACTTTTTATTTTAGTTTGTACTTTGGAATAGTTGTACACTGAAGTTTAGACAGTTTAGATAGATATGTTCAAGCGTTAAAGGCTGTTAGGGACAGGAGAAACCTCCTCTTTCACATGAGTTCTTTGGGTTGATTCCCGCTGCGAAAAATCGACTCAGTGCCTTCTCGAAGAGATGAATCACAGCATTGAAGGCCTCCAAGCTAGGAAGCGACCTCACTGCTTTGCAAACTCCCACAAGCCCCAAGGATCCATTTAAGCAAAAGTTATCCACGCTCACCACCAAAAGCCACCAAATGTAGGCCATATGTGCTTACACGGATCGTCTGGGAAGTATTCAAATGTCTTAAACAACCTGAGCCGCAAAGTGACCGTCTTAAAAATAGCTGTGTCAACAGAATCTCAAGTTCCCCCCCCAGGAAACATGGACGTCAAACACTCGAGAAATCGTATGAACTGATGGGTCCTGGAAGAATGCTTGCTCTACACGCTGTGCGGATCTGTTCGGCTCCCTCAACTGATAAGTAAGACTCAGAATAATGATGGGATCATCATGCACCAAGGCGAACCACTCTAAGGGAGGAAGCAACTTGTTGTTCACTAATTGGCAGCAAGTGAGCCATGACTGGCATCACTTTTTCACCTTGGGTAAATGTGAAACCAAGATAAGGGTAGCCTCGAGCGGACATGACTGGCCAGCATGCGCACCGACTTCTGCACCCCGGAAACACCCCAAACGTTGGATGTCGGCTACAGTGCACCAGTGGGCAGTCGGCATGTTGGTTTCGTCTCAATTTACTGAGCATCATTGAATTTGAAGATTGTGTGATTTTATGATAAGATCTTGCAGTTTCTCAAGTTGAATAGTAGCACATCTGCGAAAAACCTAAAGGAGCCAAGCTCCACCCGACCAGGCAGGCTAGGCACCCTGGCTACCTTCTACCTCTCGTGTGCCTTACATGTGGTCTTAAACCTGGCATCCACTCGGCCCACCGTGTGAAAATACCTGGTCAACCAGTGGAGGCAGAAATGTGACTTGTCTTGAAAAAAAACAACATATAAGTAGTTGAAGGTCTCTATACACATACAATGCTCCACCAACAAATAAAGCACGAAAGCTCAAGAAAAAACTGAAAGCTCTTTCTTCCAAGAGGCGACCCCCAAGTCGCCGGCTCCTCCAGAAAGGCTAAGGCCTTTTCCCAAGGCAACCTCCGTCCCGCCGACTCCAAAGCCTGCGGAGGGTCGAGTCGAAGAAGGAGTCAAAGCGGGAGAGGAGTCTAAGAAGGAATTCGTCTCCCTCAAAGAAGTCTGAGTTGTTTCTCCATTTTCACAAGACATATGTTGATTTGAGATGATTTGAGGCCAGTGCAATTGGGAGAAAAATCATGAAAGATCTGCAATCTCAAAACCTCTCAGTTCACTTTAAGCATCTTTAAGCGACATGCTGTCAAGGGCAAGGCTGCAACAGGCATGAACAGGCGCTTGGATCTCCACATGGTGTCAAAGGGACCAAGGATTGGAACCTGCTGCCATCAAAGTCTTTGGATGACCCAGGTCTACATACTGGAAGATTATGACATGGAACCTGAAAACCACTGGTTTGTGGAGGAAGCTAGTCTTTCAAAGGTGCATGACATCAGGTGTCATATTGATCTTCTTGGGTGTATCCAGGTCTGAGTCTGGATGTTCCATGTCAAAGTAAAACATCTACTCCAACCAGCAGTCACAAAGGGGTGCCTAATGGAGGATATGGGTGCCCATGATCCACTCACTTAGGGACTAAAAAGCTCCCTTTTGTGACTCTTGGAAGCAGACTTTCCCGGATCGATTTGGGGCCAATGCTTGACCTTCCATCCTCCTCAAGCGGCACATGCACGCCCTCCATGCATGTCCGAACCTGGACATGGGATGAGAGCCATTGCACGCCCTCCGTGCCGTAGCTTTCAGCCAAAGGCAACAACTTCAAAGCTTTTGGCCAGGTTGAGGAGTCCTCAGATCGTCCAATATTTGGGGCGCTGGTGAGGACAACCGTCCCTGTTCATGAACAGCGTCATCTTTACAGCTAAGCGATTGAGTCCGGAGACGAGGAAGTGATGCTGGAAGAAGCTCCGGAGTTTCGAGTTAGCTCGACACCCCCTCCAGGAATGGGATCTTATGCTTGCTGCGTAGGAGAAGCTCACACATATCTGATGTTTACCTCAGTCAAACAGCTAAGCATATCTTCCCCATGGGTCTGTTGCTGGCACTGGTGGTGTTAGGGGCTTGAGGTGGTCAGTGTCTTCCCTGATAAGGCTCTGAGAGTTGTCAGGCATGCTGCAGGTGTTCGAAGAACCATCTCAACACTAAGGATCACTATAGTTTTCCCACCAACGACCATTCATCGCTCCATCTTGGCCTGCCTGAACGTTCCATCAAGCTGGTTTCTACGCTCCATGAGGATTCAACATACCCCATCAAAAAAATCAATCGTTCACATCCCAAGAGAGGTCCATCCCATATGTACCACAGACCAGGGTCCGAACGTTCAGGTCTCTCAACCTCTCTTGGTCACCAAGTTCGAACGATGTCTCACTTGCTCGGACCCAGTGTCAAAGCTCGCCATCGTCTTCTTCCACCTCACACCGATCGACGATGAAGCCGATGGGGCTCAGCCAGGCGGTCGGTCCTAGACGGTGGTGAGACGGTTCGGTTTCAGAATGGTTTCAGAGGTTCGATGGCACAAGTTACCCCAAGTTCGGTGGTTTATCAGGACCCTCATATTATAAAAGAACATCTTGGGGCGCCAGTGCCATCTAGAAACCACTTGTAGTCAGAAGATGTTTGGCAACAAGTTCTTTCACCAGGGATTTAAACAGGCAAACCGTGTGTTTCTGCTTCGATAGGTCTCGGACTAGGTCTCAGAAGGCTGTGAGAATATGTGAGAATCCTTGCTCTTCTAACCCTCCCACCCTTTGTTTAAACCCAAACCCTTAGTGGACCCCTCAAGAGGAGCAAGATGGAGCAAGTACTTATGAAGTAATGTGACCTCCTTCCGAAGGCAACTCCTCCGATCCACCGAGCCCTAGCCTCGAAGGCGTTCCCATCCCGCCGGTTCTCCGGTTCTCTGGGGGACTTCGAGTCGACCACCTGCGACTCAACTGGAAGTGACCCAACTTCTTCGATCCCGCCAGGTTCGGAAGGTCCAAAAACGCAGAACTTGGGAGAGATGACTCCCATGTCGTGCACAGGTGTGGACACAAAAGGACCCAAAAGCAAGCTGAGCAAGCTGCTGCCGCGAGCTGAGCAGGCTGCGAAGACAGCGAGTAGAGCTTTGCGTTGGGAGACGTGGAGACCATCTCTCCAAAATTGGTCCAAAGACCCAACATGTCTGACCCCCTGAAAGAGCCCATGGTCCGCGAACATGTCGTGTTGGGTCCGGGGTGGGCGGAATGGAGAGCCGGAACAGCTAACCTGTCAGCATTCCGGTGGAGACCCACCTGTTGGATGGTTGGCGAAACCCTTCGCCGGCGGGTCTAGTTGTCCACTGACTGGGTCTAGTTGTCCACATACATGGTCAAACCAAGAGAGGTTGAGAGACCTTATAGGACCCCATAGTGGTACGTATGGGATGGGCTATAAGGCTGTTCAACCTCTCTTGGAAGAGCCCCAAATATCCGAATGCACCACCAAAGAAACAACCAAATCAGGTGGCCATGTCTATTTGGAATGCGGAGGAAGCAAAACATGCACTGGATTATGGCGTCCTCAAGTCCTCATGGTTTGTGTCACCTCATTGTTCAAGTGTCCCCAGAAAGTGAAACTGTTGTGGTTTCTCAATTCTTACATATGGCTGGGGGTCAGAACCAGGATACTTTGGTTGACCTTCGAGGTCAAGCTACATGGAGCAGGGTTCCAGGTTTTGGACCCATCCCTGGACCACCACCGCCTCAGGCCGCCCAAGAAACCTCGCGTCGGATCAACCCCTTTTGGGTCGGATCCACCTCTTGCGCCAAGAGACATGAAATCAGCTTCGATTCCTTTGGAATGCATCTCCAATAGAGTCGACAAGGCCACAGTCCACCTGAAAGTTCAGAGTGCTTCCAACCGCCTTTGGGAGCCCATTCTCCACAGAACCCGTGAACCTGACAGAGCTACCGGAACTCCACAGCCTGGGGCCCTGAGACCTGGGAACGCAGCCCCCCTGAGCAGGATAAACACGATAAGGTGTTTTGCAGTCATGTGAAGGCTTCCCATGAAGACATCTGTGACAGACTTGAAGTTGGGCAGTTCATCATATTTCCATGCATCAAAAATAATCCAGCCTCCTGCATGCATTTGAGACAAGCTCTGACGAGCGGAGCACGCCCAAAAAGCATCAAACAACATTTTGAAAAACACAGACCACTTCTAAACCACGCCACTGCTTTGAGGAAGCCGCGGAAGAGGTCAGGGCTCCGAAGGTCAAACAATTCATCTTGCACCCAACCTTGGCACGTGCGCAGGACACGGAATGATGACTGAACACCAGGCGAAAAGGCATCACTAGCCTGAAACTTGGCCTAAAGCCCTAAAGCAATTATAGTGACCCCTGCTGGTCTCCCAAAACACCTGCAAATGGAACCTATGCCCCCCCCCAAGATGCATGTTCCTAACCTTAGAAATCCGCTCATCGTCCACCGAAAGACTGCCTTCATCTTCTGGATCAGTCCTTAGACATGAGACGGGCCGTCGGAACTGGAACCGCAAAGCAAAACAGGCATCCGGTTGGGACTGGATGTCCGTGGTTATCCCACCATGCCCCAACCAAAATCACACAATTCCGTGCTTTATAAAAGCAGTCTCTTTTGGATGTTTAAAAATCAGGGTGAAAGTAATTAGATCATTGTGTTGACTGAGTCAATGATCCTTCTTCATAGCTTGGAAGCTCATTGCCTCGATGTCGCCACTCTCGTGGTGAAGTGAAAGTGAAGCACATTCACACTCCCCCCCCAACACATACACACACACACACACTCAACAGACACACACACACACACACAAAAAAAAAAGCACACACAACACACACACACACAACACACACAACACACAACACACACACACACAACACACACACACACACAACACACACACACAACACGCACACAGAAACACACAGGCACACAGACACACACACACAAACACCGAATCTGAAAGATACCTTGAATATCCTTGAATGGATTTCCTTTTATGACATGAATATGTCAGAGATACTCCAACCCAACACATCATAAATAGATATCTTCAGAGTTTTGCATGTCCGTCTGTCCAAGCCATCATTTTTGACACAGATGCATCCAGGAAAAGAATGCATCCCCTTCTAAAACCGGATGCCTCACCATAAGAGCCCACTGACCTCTGTCGCTTCTCGTTCGCACCACGGTCGCTAATCACTCGAATGAACCGAACGCATTTGAGTGATTTTTGCATTACCATCGAACGCATCGTGATTGCAAGAGAGTCTCCAATTGCAACATCCCAGCTGCAGGCAGCAATCACAGCATTAAACATCACGGTATCTGGCATTGATACCTCTTCCTGAAGCGAAAAGTGTTTGGACCGGTCACCACCATTAATCACCACTAAATATGAAATGGAATCTCCAAAACATGTGGATAAGTTCCCTCCCAAGAGCTGGGCGGTTTTTGACAGTTCCCTCGACGTCCCTCGAGCTGTCACAGCTTGCTGGGTGGTTATGATCTTGGGATTCTCGGGGCAGGATGGGGCAGCTAATTACCTACTATCTCGCTAATTACCATTCCCCATGAGGCTGAGGCTCTTACCCAACACGCGAGTCGAACTGAACTGTCCCAGACCGTGACCCAACCGCTCGGAAGGCCTTGGGCCCAAGCGGCAAGTAACCCACATGCAGATTCCCATTGGGCACCCTCGCCGCACGCATGCACCAAAGCAGTATAGGAGCGGAGGTCACGGTCCAGATCCTTCGCCTGACCAGGCTGAACAACTAGTGTTTTCGAAGCAAACAGGTCAGGCGAAACAAATGCTCCAAGTGTTTGATGGCACCTTCACTCCGCGAGAAAACACTGCCTTCTCTCTGACAAGATCTGACAAGCAACTATGAGAATTCCAGAGAGAAACAAAAAAGATATGCACCCTAAAGTCTTTGTGCCTGGTGAAACAAATTGCATGCACGCTGCCACTGCCCGTGATGTGTCAAGGCATTCATTGCAATGCTCAGGCTGGTCGTGTCTAAGGAGTCTCCATCTTCAAGGAGCTCCAAAACCAAGGCCCATTGACCACCCTTGTCCTTACAAGCAAATGGATCAAATCCGAGACAGGGCATTGAACAACCATTTGCAAATCATTTGCAACTATTTCGTTGTTTGCTAGCAGAACCCACTTGAGAGCGCTTCTAAGCGCACCGCACCTCATCATGCTATTTGGTGTCGCTGCCAGTCAAAAGAGGGCATGATTGCGGGAGATTAAGGAACTTCTGTGAGATTCTTGGACGAAACAGTCAAACATGCACAAATAGCCCCGTTCCGAAGGGCTGGTCCGAAGGGCCGGGCATATGCTCTTCATGTCCGGGTTCAGGACAAGTGAACGGGCACAAAGCACACACACACAGGAGAAAAAAGTAAAAACATGTATAGAAGATGATTTTTTGACCTGCCAAACAATTGTGCTTGACCTGTGGCACTCCCACAGGTAACTGACTCCAAAAAACGGTCCCAAAAAACATGACGGCCTGGGGCCTTTTTCATCCCAAGCTTTTCAACAGTTCCACACTCTGCATAAGAACTGCACGACTCAGCTGCACCGCCGGACTCAGCCCAGTGGCACATGCGCTGAGCAAGGCGGTGATCGCGATCCGGTCGGGCCGGAGGCGCCGGAGGCCTACGCGTCTGGACAAGCCGGGTGGGCTTGAAGGTTGGATGCGAACAAAGGTCAGCATGTATACATGTATATCTATACATATTTGGGGACCTACCCGTCCTACCCATGGAATTATCCTCGGTATAGGTATATAATGGTATATATATATAATATGTATATCGGAATACTTGAAGGATTATTGCATACATTGGGATGATTTAAGATGTTTTAAGGGTCAATGTATTGTATAGGTAAACCTTCCATACATGGACGGTCTGGCTATGTATGGTAGGTATGAACATAGGTCTGTATAGGTCCATGGGGTCCTCCGGTTTGGGAAAAAACTGGACCTCCCCATACTGTACCTCCCCCCACAAACCTCATCCGGTCAGAGGACTCCCAACGTCCGCCTTTCTCCCCCAAGAAGATGTCGTTCGCCAACTGCAGCGCTGTCCACCATTCACTGGCACGTGTGCAGGCGTTCACAGCGCTACTCGCCTGAAGGCTGTACGACCAAAACATGTACCGAGAGAGGTGTTCCCATGGCCAGTGCGACTGGAACTCTCCATGGGCAACTTTGACGTCCCTGACATGAACCAGCTGAATTGTCAAATGTGGGAAGTTGGTATGATTCGTGATAATTATGTAGTATTTCCTCTATAAAATTTATATTTTGACGAAACATAAACTATAGAGACAACGAATGACAGCGACGTGTCTGGTCTTAGGAAAAGTAGGAGGGAAACGACCAGTGTTTCAGTCACCCCATGGGTGTTTCAATTCAAGAAGGCATCATTCCCTGTAGGTCACTCAGAAATGAAATAGAAATGAACACCTGCAACCCTCAAAGGCATCTTCACGCAACCGTCTTAAGGGTCACCCTCGTCCAAGTGACCGAAGGCAAAACAACTTCAAAAAAGTACGGTGGGGTCTGGAATACGGGTCAAGTACAGTCTTCAAGCCACAAAACATGTAACTCAAACACCAGCAGTGACATTTTCTGGAACAGCATGCATTCTTTTATTAAGGGTCATTGAATTGAGCAAAAAGTGGCCAACCTTTTGCCACAATGGCCTAATCCATCTACATTTGTCGGGCAAAAGAATTCATAGACAGGAACCGCCCAAAAAACATGGTTTCTGTAAAACAACACTTCCCGAGCCGGATCCCAAAACTCGAGTATCATTTGTCGGGCAAAAGAATTCATAGACAGGAACCGCCCCAAAAAACATGGTTTCTGTACAACAACACTTCCCGAGCCGGATCCCAAAACTCGAGTGTCGAAACAGGATATCAGGGCAATTATATAAGGGGGGGGTGCTGTGAACGATTTACTTTAAACACATATATTTTCTGTTTAAACAATTTTTCACATATCCACAAACAATGCTTCAAACAAGTAGTTCATATGTATAACTCTAAAATCTCTAATTTTAGACAAAAATTGAATATTTGTGTTTAATCAATTTTTCACACGTCGATAAATAGAGTGCATTAAAAAGACCCGTTTAAAAAATAATCTATATTTATGTTTTCAGAAAAAAGAATAGTTCTATTTAATCAATTTGTCACATGTCCATAATCACATCTATTTTCAAAGGTTTTTTAATACTAAAACTATTAACTTTTAAGGGCTAATATATATATATATATGTATGTATATTCTTTAAAAATATCTTAAAGAATAGAAATGTATCTGTTTTTGCTCATTTTCACATGTCCATAAACAAATTATAAGTTAATTCTTTAGTATGTTATACTAAAATTGTTTCGTTTAAGAGTTTAAACATATATATGTGTGTGTGTTGAATAAGTTTCTGAAAACCAGCTACTTGTTACCCCCTCGAACCCTAAACCCCTTAAGCTTCCCAATCCATTAAACCTTAAGACCCTTAAGCCCTAAAACCCTTGAGCTGAGAAAAATGTCCGTTATAAAGTCATTATCCTAGCTTCAAATCACAATTCCAAGCAGTGGCTCCCATGTAGACGACATCTGCTGATGTATATGGTTGTATGTTGCGCGTGCCCCTTTCATAGCTGCATTCTGACTTACAGGTCGAGCGGTTCCAAATGTGAAACTGAAAGTAGCAGTCCTCTTACAAGCAAGTTGTCAATATATGAAAGATGATTTTCCTATCATTCTCCTCTTTATTTGTGCACTTCTCGTCTTTTCACACACACTCATCACCCCAGCCAGCAAACTAATTGACAGTCTCCCAACCTGCTTGTCTGCAGGCCCTTCCACGGCAATCTCTCCTCAAGGAAAAGCTGCAACCGAGCCTTGCAAAGCCTTGCTCAAAAAAACACTAATTCAATGCACAGTAAGCATTGAAAGAGTCACGCAGTAACAAGATGAACCAAGTGAAGAATGTGAATTTTACTCAAACACACGCTCTTCTACCCAAGGACCTTCTCCGTGGTGTGATCTCTCATCCTCGATATCTGCTGCAACTTCCTACACCGCAGAAAAGGTTGTGCCAGAAATGGGAACGTGGCCACTTGAAGGCCAACAAGATTCAAAAGGTAGAATGAACATACCGACACGACTGGCCGGACACGACTGTGGTGCGCCGAACTGGGTGCAGGGGCATCGCCACGGGGGAAGTAGGTCTCGGACTGAAATCCTCGAAGGTGATGTCCTTAGAGCAATACCCGTGGAACATCGTGGAACGGGGGTCAAGAACCTGGGGCACGTCGATATTGATCCTTGCATCGCTGACTTCCGCCCGTTGGGCGACGCCTAAATTCTCCCCTGCAAACACTGCCAATTCACCGACTGCGATCCGTACCTTCGTCGCTAGTTCCTCCGCACCGTCAACGCTGGCGCGGACCTTGGCGCGGACAAATCAGAGATCCATTGCCGCGAAAACCATACCTCTGGAAATTGCCTCTAGAAGCTCCTCTGTTTTAAAGGCAGTCACCACCAAGGACTGGCAAAGTTTCGCGCCCCAAGCGAAACCCCATCAAAAATGAAATGCGTCGGCACTCCAAGTCCTGGCAGGCATGTGCTTAACTCTGCAGCATCCTGGCGCTGGAGGGACAAGGACGTCAAAGATTCCACCAAAGTGAAGAATTGCCTGCTATGATACTTGTCTCCGACATAACTCCGTGAAGAGCCACTTAATCTTGCAAGTGAACGTTTCGCTGCCTCGTCATCAGAATGGCCCTCGCAAGCATGAGCCAGAATCTCCATGAGCAAGGTCTCCATGACTAGACGAGAATCTCTAGGGGGAGGCATGCACGGCGTCGCTGCTTCAAAAGCCATGGCTCCAAAACTGCACAAACCTGTGTCGGATCACGTCGGCATGTCCTCGGGTTTGCAGATCTTTCGGGGACATGAGCTTGGGAAGTTGGAAAGGCCTTCAGCATGAGCGGCATGTCTGTCTTCGAAGAAGCTCGGCCATGCGTCCAGATCCACCATAGCATGTCGCACCGACCCGACATGAACTGCCCATCTCCAGCAGTTCTGGGTTCGCTCCGGCAAGTGGCCCACGGTCCGAGTCAGCGTCGCCTTCTTCCTGCATTCCTGCACGACGGGCTCTGCTTCACTTCCGCTTCTTCCTGCAAGACAGGCTCCGCTTCTGTAACCTCTGACTAGTCCTGCTGCTCTGGAGCCTTGCTTGACGACGCAGTGCCAGAAGACGCAAGTCTCCTCCAAGTGGCTGCCTTCTTCTGCCTCCTCCTCTCCTGGCTCTCCAGAGAAGGCGCGATTGAAGAGAAGCTCCTCGGCCTGTTGCCGAGACCAGAATTGGGCCAGCGCAAGGCCAGTCAGGGTCGGCTTTGGCATGCCAGCGCACGGGCGCTCAGGTTCTGGTGGCCGGTTTGCCTGTTGTTGTAAGTCAGTTGTTGTTCGGTTGATGTTTTCCGTGTCTGCCAGTTGCTCATGTCGTTGTTCGCTGTGTTCGGTTGTAAATTGAATTGTGGTTGGTTGTCGGTTGTTTTCGCTTGGTTACTGCAGGACCCAAAGGCTCCAAGATTGAAAAATTTCAATCTCACTATTGAAAATTTTGCAATTTCAATCTGCGATTGAAATTTGATTTTCAAACTAAAATTCAATAGAAAACCTTGATTCCAGGAACATGGATGCGATTGAAATTTAGGAACAGATTTTAGAGGTTTTGTTATTGAATTTTGGAAAATTTGCGATTGAATTTTCAAAGGCTTTGCGATTGAATTTTTAGAGCCTATTTGGAACCACATAAGTGTGCAAATCTACATACATACATACATACATACATACATACACACACACACATACATACACATACATACATACATGCATACATACATATTTACAGCATACATGTGCTTGCAGGGCTGGAGAGTCCCAGGTAATGCACTAGCAGGGTTTAACATTGGGCTGGATAGCCCCAGCTGTGCTTTAGGGCTGGAGAGCCCCAGATGCTGTCTTAATGATTGCAGCTCTTTTGACTGGATAGCCAGCTCCTTCAGTTTTGACTGGATAGCCAGCCATGTCCTGCAAGGGAGGGCCAAGGAGAATGAAGAGTGAGGAGATTGACATGCAGCACTTGGTCGATGTGCTGGTGGACATGGTCAGAAAGGAAGGTGTGGACCAGGCCTTCAACTTCCAGTCCTACCACAACCTCACCAAACAACAAGCCATTCAAGGAGTTGATTTGGCAGGGCAGTTGCCATTGGTGCAAAAGCTCTCGCAGGTGTGCCCCAGCCTCATGTTCAAGTACTCAGACCTGAAGCAGGCCTTCGCCAACCTCGTGCTCAAGTTCCCTGGCTTGAAGCACAGCTGGCCAGCTGAGCAGCATGCAGCTCTCCCAGGACAATACAGTGAGTCCATCATGACCATCATGACCCACTGCAGGAGGCTGCTCACTGAGACCAGGTTCAAGGAAGCCACCAAGAATTTACATGGCTACCAGGTAACCACATTGCCAAGCTGAAAGAGCTGAGGGACATTGCACAGCAGCAAGATGAGATTCCATCCTTGCCTGTGAAGGCAGACCCAAAGGAGAAATGCAGCACACCCCAAAAGACAAAAGATGAAGAGAAGCCTGCAGGCTTGGCTGCAATTTTGGACATGGAACTGCCAAAGACACAGGATTCTCCAGCTGCTGCAAGCCTTGAATCTGCTGAGGCTGCTTCTCCTGTGCCTCCAAGAAAGCAAACCTTGAAAAAAACAATGGCCAGGCCAGCTGCTTGCAAAGCAAAAACCAAGCCTGCAAAGGCAACAAAAGTGCAGACCACCAAGAAGAAGCCAGCAAGTGGCACTGTGGAGTACAAACTCATGCCCTACAAGGCCACTGGAGCAGTGGCAATTCGCATCAAAAATGGCAAGCAAGTCCTGCAAATCAAGAAGCAAGGGAGTGGCTTGGCAGGTAACAGGGCCTTAGCCCAAAAGCTCCTGGATGCCTTGGAGGCTGGCAAGCCTTTGGCAGAAGTGCTGGAGATGAAGGACAAATTCCTGCAGGGGTGAGAGCAAAAATGCATGCTGCAGCTGACCTTAACTATCTTCAGGGCTGGAC